TCCTGCGGCGGTGATGGGAACTGCACCTTCCTCCGCCTGAGGGGGGATTCTGAGAAATTGAGCCCTAAAGCAGAATACAGGTGTGCCGGCTAATAATGCGGATTCTTTTCAATAGATGGAGTTGCACACGTGTGGATATGTATGCGATGTGATATGTGTGCTGTTTTGCTGTATTGCTCCCTCAGATGACCACTTGTTCCGATCGACGCACACGCACTTCCTGAGCAGCCCTTCAAAACGTACGAAGAAGTGGGAAATTGGGTCTCTGAATGGCCTGCCTCAAAACAAGAAAAGTTCTATTGGGACGGTCTCCACAAATGACCCGAAAGACGGGGGAATGTGTAGCTAGCGAGGGACGTTACTTTAAACAAAGCACTTTTGATGTTTGTCTTGAAATTATCGTGTTTTCTTTGATGACAAAATCTGCATTATTACGGTTAATAATGCATATTAATTATTAACCAGTTAATAGTGCAGATTGGCTATTAACTGGTTAATAATACGGATTGACCATTAACTGGTTAAAAATGCGGATACCGGTTAGTAATGCGGATTGACCCTTTCCCCCAAAATGCCCGACTTCATCTCTTAGCCTCAGGCATTCAAAGGTAGGGGAGAAGGCACTGAAGTGGGGTGGGCAGTGGGGAGGGTCACCTTCAAAAGGCCCAGTCCCTTGATTTTCCTGGGCCCACCTGGATGCCCACCTGTACACCCACCTGCACACCCACCTGGACATGGGGAGTTGCCCCCAGGAGAGAGCCCCCACGTGGGAGGGTATTTCCTCCAGATAAGTCCTTATGTGACTACTGAGAAGGAATCCTGTGAGCTGAGAATGAATAACCTACCCCCCCACACCCCCCTGAGAAATTAAGGCTGGACATTTAAGTGGGGGCGGGCGGGGAACAGGACTCATTTTCTGTGGATGGACCAGGGCTGGTCTCACCAGTGACTCAAGGGATAAAGATGCTCTTGCCCGGCCGGCGTGACTCAGTGGTTGAGCGTCGACCTATGAAGCAGGAGGTCTCGGTTCGATTCCCAGTCGGGGCACATGCCTGGGTTGGGGCTCGATCCCCAGTGTGGGGCGTGCAGGAGGCAGCTGATCCATGATTCTCTCTCATCATGGATGTTTCTATCTCTCTCTCCCTCTCCCTTCCTCTCTAAAATCAACAAAATATAGACAAAATAAAACAGAAGGCGGGCGGGGGTCTAGCTGGGGTTGGAATTCATTTTTTAAAAGATTGTCTATTTAAAAAAATAAATAAAAGGGGAGGGGGCAGTCTCACCTTCTAGACCAAGGCCTGGGCTGCAAGATAAACAGAGACGGAAACCAGACAGAGAAGGGGCTGGAGAGCGGAGTGGACAATTCAGGAGATAACTTTATTGAAATGCAAATGGCATCGGAACAGGGGAGCCTTGCTGGGCGGAGACGTGCCCTGGGGGCAGAGGGCCCAGATTTTGGGGTGGAGGGGGGCCCTTCAGCCGGGCCCTGGGCGAGGATTTAACTGTCAACCAATTTGTGACATAGAACGAATTCCTGGGGGGCAGCCCGGCTCCCGACATGATTGTTCCCGCACTATATACATCGCTCGGCTTCCCGGGCTCTGTTGCGTTCTCTACATTCGATAGAAAATAAAAGGGGGCAGAGTGAAAGAGGGGGGTCAGATGAGAAGAAAACATAAACACACAGACACGCACACAGCCTGGTTTGGGGTTTTCTCTGCCCAATAAATTAAAACAAACAAAATAAACAAAAGGGTTCCCCCTGAGGAGCACCATGCATTTGAGAAACAGACTCCATTGTGTGAACAGTGCGGCCTAAGACAGGGGAGGGAGGCGACTACACAGCAGCAGCCAAGACTGGAGGAGACATGGGGGGCTCCTGCCTCATCACCAGACACCTCATCCCAGAGAAATGGCAGAGAAGCAGAGGGTCCACAAGGGGTGACCGGAGGGCCTGCCGTCAGTGCAAGGGCTTCAGCCCCACGGTCCTCGGGTCCCCCCCCACCGAAAGGCCGGGTTCTGGAACTCTGAGGCTGAATCGTAGCACACGTCTTTGTCCCCTCCCCTTGAGCTCGCTCACAGGGAAAACCGGTCGGCACACTTCCAAACAGAACGGGGTGCAAGGGCTTCAGCCCCACGGTCCTCGGGTCCCCCCCACCGAAAGGCCGGGTTCCGGAACTCTGAGGCTGAATCGTAGCACGCGTCTTTGTCCCCTCCCCTCGAGCTCGCTCGCAGGGAAAACCAGTCGGCACACTTCCAAACAGAACGGGCTACACATAGGAGCTCATCTCCCCCGGGACCCCACCAGCTAGAATCTGCGAGTTTGGAAAGATACCACCGTCCCTTTCTATAAGGGATTTTACTCTGTCGCCACGGCTGACGCGTTCCGGATCCAAGCCCTGGTGTGGGGAAGAGGAACCGTGTGGGGACTTAGCTCCCGGTACTGTCCCTTCATCGTGCCAAACTCTGTCCGGGAGCCGAGCACGTCCCGGAGCCCTGCACCTGTCAGCTGCCCTGGGGAAGGGGGCTCCGGCCAGGTCCTCAGAACTCACATGAGGGCTCAGAGTGGACACACACCACCCAGCCGGCTGACGAGCCCTGCCCTGAGCTGGCAGGTACACATTCCAGGGCCCCGCAATCTTCCTGGGAAGGTGGTATTCAGCGAGGACAGAGGTAAACACTCCCCTGACTCCCTCCCCGCAAAGCGGCACACGCCCCTTTCCTTCCCGTGTTAAATGCAAGGAGACACACACACACACACACACACACACACGAGGCAGCACGAGAAAGGGCACTCGGGAATGAATGTTAACGTCAGAATGATCACCCGGGGCCCTGGCTGGTGTGGCTCAGTGGATAGAGCGTCGGCCTGCGGACCAAAGGGTCCCGGGTTCGATTCCGGTCAAGGGCACATGCCTGGGTGGTGGGCTCCATCCCCAGTGGGGGGCGTGCAGGAGGCAGCTGATCCACGATGCTCTCTCATCATGGATGTTTCTCTCTCTCCCTCTCCCTTCCTCTCTGAAATCCATTTTTAAAAATATATTTGAAAAAAAGGAAAAGACAGTGGTACCAGGGTTCAGAGACAGGGATGAGCACCGTAGAGCTGCCGCAGGGCACAGGTGAGCTGAGATACTCCACGGAGCCTCAGGAGACAGGAAACAGCGACAGCAAAGGGCTCCTGTGACACACACGCATGCACACGCATGCACACGCACACACACACAGACATCGGGTCCCAGGCTGGCCTCCAATCACCGAGTGTTTTATTGTTAGTGCCCAGGCAGGTTCGAGAAACAGATACACTGAACAGAACATGTTGGTCGTCTTCGTCCGGAGGGCGAGGAGGTGGCGGAGGGG